TGATATCCTTGCTTAAAAAGTTACAAGTAGGCCTAACAAAAAAATAAGTTACTTTCAATTTGTCCTAATAAGTATATAAATACTAGTATCTAATAAACAATAACTAGTATCTAATGAATAAGTGCTAGTATCTTTAAAAATGATAGTACTACATAAAGAATAAGCACTAGTAGCTAATCAAATAGATTCTAGTGTCAAAAAAATAAGTACTAGCAGCATGAAAATAGACCACACGTACAGTAGCTCAAATGAGCAAATCACAATTATATAACAGTTTAGTCTTACTAGGCTCAGCGTCAGTGATGAAGTGTCAAGTTCAACATCAAATCAGATGTTTTAAACATTAAAAGTTAAAAGGGCTTGCCATACCCACAGAGCATCACTTCGAGTGTGAGAGCAGCGCCATCCAGTGGCTGCTGGAGAAATGCAGGGACAGATATTGCGTTGAAATGAAATAAAAGCCTTTATTGTCATTGTATTTTTCTGTATACAATGAAACTAGGAGCACTGCTCCTGACTGCTGTTACAAAATAAACATACAAGACTCTACAGTACAATTATAAAAGTATATACAACAAGTGACCGAGTCATAATATTGCACATTGAGCAATCTGAGTACAGTGAGCATTGACAGAACTGCACATTGACCTCTGCACTGATATGAAACAGTAAGTATATACAGAAAGTAGAAACTGAAATGGAATAAGTGGCAGTAGTGATTACTGAGCAGATATAGTATTGCACTGCATTTGTTAAAGTCCTGATAAACAAAGTGACCAGGTGATCATATTCACACTCTGCATATTGTATAAAAACAGTGGTATAGACGGAGACTGTAGTTGAGTGACGTGACTGGAAAAGTGTTTTAACATTGACCTTTGCCTCAGTGCATTAGTGAGTTTAGAGTCCTGACAGCAGCAGGAAGAAACTGCTCCCTGTTCTTCAGGATCTGTAGCAGACTGATCCGGTGTGTCCTGGGTGTGACGGGTCCTTGAGGATGTTCCTGGCCCTTCTGCAACGTAATGACATCCTATCAATAGGATCAAGGAAACAGCCTGATGAGCAAAATGACAAATGATCAAACTGCAGAAAACTGCTGCTCTCCCTCAGGATTTCTGTCTTGTGTTCCAGTGCAAATGCCTGAAGATTCATAAAACAAGATACATTTACTGGAGAATAAACAGGAATTCATTCATGTTCCATGACAAACAATGAAGTGAGTGTGTGATTAAAACAATAACAAATATCTATCAATGGAATCAGAGAAATCAACTTCATTCAAAAGAAAACACGTTTTCATTCTCCGCTGACAGATATTTGTTCTTGTTTTGATCATAAACTCACTTCATTTTGTTCAGTTTCTCAGAAAACAAGACTTAAATGTCTCTTAGAAATCGCTATTGTCCCCACATGAGGAAATTCATCTTCAGCCCCAAAACACTTGACTTCACAACCAATACAACAGATACACAAAAACATACAAGAACTTCTTACCCCATTGATTACAGGCACGTGAGACATAAAATAAGTGTGTAGGCTAATAGCACTAACACCATAAAAAAAAATGATTATGGGTCATTTATTTCATAAAGTAATGGCAAGTAATCTTGATTATGCAAATCTTCCCACATAGTGAGGTAGACATGTGGGGGCGTGTCAGAACGAGCCGTTTTAGGTAGGTGTGACTGACTCTTAACTTTTATAAAGAATATCTCTTTGGATTTGAGACTTTAGTCTTTGCAACTTTACAGATCTTCTTTATGCACCAAGAGCTTGTAACACTCCAAAGAGAAAGGAACACTTGAAATCGCATCATATGACCCCTTTAAGGATGTTTAGATATTTGTACTGGAAAACTACTAAGTTTAAGAGAAAAATACTAAGAAAGATATTCATTCATTGCAGTTCATGCAACATTTAATGCCATGACTTTATGACTTTATGAGTTCTTATGAGTATCTTTTTAGGTCTTATTTTGTGGAGGGGAGAGTTGAGTCTTCTCAAGAGCCACAGAAAGGCTGCTGTAAGGAGCAGTAGATCTGTTCTCTGTGTCGTCGTCTTCTGTCATCCATACAGCATCTTCTGTTCTGTTCACATATTCCTCAACACACCCGAGTGTTGATCTGTTCATAACTCTAAATATCAAGAAAAAAATCATAGGTTAACCAGTCTTTCCAACAACTCAAAAAGCCATGTGGATCAAACAGACCCGCAGCATAAGGGTTAACCTTGTGCTCTTCAGGGATATTCTTGTCTTTTTGTTTTATTGATCATTGTGCAAACAGCATGGACCTACATGTGTTGTTTTAATATATATATATATATATATATATATATATATATATATATATA